TCTCTCTCTCTCTCTCTCTCCCTCTCTCATGCTGACTCTCTGCCAGGCCATTTCTGCCTTTAATCCCCTGACCATAGACTGAAAACCTGAGCCCACATGAAATTCTCTTCTAAGTTCATGTTGGTGATTCTCCCATCAATGAGAAATTAACTCATCTTGTCTTATACCAGAAAGAGGTAGGGTGGTATAAATTCTTATTTAGGATTAGCAAAAGAGGCCAAAATGACCCATTCCTTATTGTGTATTATATACTATGTTGAAGATAAAATTCTGCATCCTTCAAATGCAGGTGATATGAATGTGAGTTTTGAGAAATTAATTCAACAATAGAAGTTATGCTTCTAGTTCATGAATAAAAATTGTCAACAATTTCTTTTATTTGCGGAACCAGGAATCGAACTCAGGCCCTCATGCTTGCCAGGGAAGCACTTATTCCACTGAGCCATCTCCCCGGCCCCTACAATTTCTTATACAATAGTTTGAATTGGAAATTTATGAGCATCTGTATTTGACTATATGACTTATCAAATATTATTAATTGAAGCAAAAATTAATTCTTAGTGAGTAATGTATATTTTATATTATATATATTTAACTGCTACTATGAATATTAATTATTGAAATGATGTAGTTCTGCATTTGAAACATTTTTACAAAATAAAAAAGAGCAAGTTAAACAAAAAAATGCAGGATAAGAGCTGTATAACAGGAATGCTTAAGAAATTAAAAAACAAATTAAAAAATTGAGAAAATCAATACGTCTTATCCAGATAAAAATAAATCTTAAAAACAATAGTGCCAGAATTTAAAGTTGTATCTTTTTAAAAGGTATGTAGGAAAATTTCCTTGTGGAAGTAGTTTTTCCACTTCTAAATCAATTGATTTGAAAGTTATTTTGAAACTCACAAACTATAGGAAATGTTAGACAAGGATGTCTAAGAAGAAAGAAAATGAGATATTACACATGGATGACTAGAGTAGGAACCACATTGAAGTAACTCAGAGAATATCATCTAAAAACACAAATAACTGGAAGAAAGGAGAGACATCAGGATGTCAAAAATTAATCTGAAATAAGAGACTTATAGGTCTAATGCAAGATAAATATAAGACTCTAACCATGGAACAAATGGATAGATTCTTAAGAACATATGAAACACCACAGCTGACTCAAGAAGAATCAAAATTTGAAATAACCTAATATTAATCAATGAAATTTAAAATAGAATTATAAACTTACCAAAAAATAAAGGCTCAGGGCTTGGTGGATTTACTACTGAATTCTACAAGAAATTTAGAGAAGATCTAATGCCACTTCTACTCAAACTATTTTATGAAATTTAAAGGGAAGCAAGACTTACAAATTTATTCTTGGAAGAAACTTTTATCTTGGTATCAAAACCAGAAAAAGACAAAGCGAAAAGTGACTACAGGCCAATCTCCCTAATGAATATAGATGCAAAATTAAGAATAGGAAGGAGCTTTATATCTCATGACAGGATTTTTTTTTTCAGTACTGGGGATTGAACTCAGGACCTTGCACTTGCCAGGCAAGCACTTACTCTGCTGAGCTATCTCCCTGGCTCTATATCTCATGAATGACATCTATACAACTCTAAAATAAACTATGCATTTTATTACTCAATTTTGAAAGGAAGCAACATCCCATAACTCATTGGCGTCCCACATTTTCTGATCAAGGTGATTATAGGACCACAGAGGACAGTGATTGACAATGTTTCATGTACCTAAGGAAAGTCACCTGGAGAGAAAAAAAAATTCTCAGGCTTTCACAGAGAGCAAATTGGTCAAGCAATGGCCATGACTCATCCAGATGGCAGACACTGACAAAAGACCCACAAGGTGCTGTACATGGTTCCAGGGTAAATCCTGAGGGGATTTGACTCACCTTGTCAGATAGCAAAAGTCACATTTTTTATTTATATAGGTCTTGTTTTAACTTGGTCTTAACCATCTAGGAGAAAAGTGTAACCATGAGGTATAAAAAGTAAAAGTATATTAATATGCTGAGCTGTAAAAGGCACAAGTCAACAAATTCTGACAATTACCAGTTGTGCTGATAACCCACTACTATTATAGACTATTGTTGGAGAGTATATTGGGTTATTTTGCTGAATTCAAATACCTACAATCTTTGGACTGGCATCAAGTATGACAAAGTCCTTTAAAGACTTCTCCAAATACAGCTTCTGTAACAGCAATGGAACACCCATCTCTGAAAAACAAAACAAAAAAGGGGGATATGTTGGGAGCCACAGAAGCTAGGAAATTGGCCAAATGGTTGTAGGTGGGACTAGGCCTCAGTGCCTTAAGCAAACAAGGTACTTCAGTCCTGAGATAAACATTCTGTCTGGTTAAAGTTGACTATCAGTCACTAGGTAACCTTGTATCATGTGTTATAAACTTTGAAAAAAAATATGAATAAAGGACTGCTTTGTTGTGAAAAAAAAGAAAAAGAAAAAATATATATGTATACACAAGATAGGATAGATATACTGCTACTTTCTCTTCATTGAAAAGAAAGATTTATACTAATGTTGTCTAGACAAGATATCATGTCTACATCTTTTCCTCTGAATAACTACTATCAAGACAACAATATGCAACATATTAATTATGGTAACTGTCCTACTAACCTGTTTTGAAACTGTTTCATTGCTATTTTACCTTTTTTTCTCATTAAAATTAATAAAACATTTTGAAACAAAAAGTGCAGTAGAAATTTTCTTATGACTTCTTCTAACAGATATTTTGTTTCATGTCCCTGCTGTTACAACACACTCACAAAAGCATATAAAAGTAATTATGTACTATGAAAGAATATATCTGAGATAATTTTCCTATCGTGTCATTGTGTTAGTATGAAATCCACATAAATTAATAATTGTAGGCACTAGTGCTGGAACTTCAATTAAGCTGAAAAATGACATATTTGTGCAACTCAGTCGTGAAGCTCTCAGTGATGATACTATACAATTTAACATTAATAAAGTTAGAGTGATAAAACTAATTAAATACATAGAAAGTATTAAATATAGCATGAAGTATAAAGAGTATTAAGTATAGAGCATTAAATATATAGAGATAAAACTAATAAGCACTCTGAATGACATCATGTTTCAGTATGGAAAAACTTTCTAACAATAAGGCTGATGTAATGGGTTGAAGAAAACATGTTCATGAATGGAAATTTTCAATAATGGGAAGATTGAACCAACAGTGTTTCACAATTGGTTCTCCAGTTGCCATCCAATTGTTATACAAATTCCAGTATGATTTTTCATGTAAGCCACAACCTGTATGGGGTGGGAGAACACATCTTAATGGATAATTTATAGTAATGATCATATCTCTGGAACTTATTAATTATTTGGCTTCCTCAAGTGGTTATTCATTGGATGAATCTATTACACATAGCTTGCAGAGGGTGGCTAGATACAGGCACTTATTGTTTTGTAAAAATAGAGAACTATAAAGAAAAGGGCAGTATTCACTAGGAGATACTGTAAACACAATACTATTTACTTGGTGTCTAGAAAATGAAATGAAAAGCTAACTATGATGATGCAGAATTTGCATCCCAGCACGCTAGAGGGCTGAGGCAGAAAAGCACAAATTTGAGTGAAGTCTCAACAATGTCACTTAACAAGACTGTATTTCAACATTTTTTTAAAAAATTAAAAGGAGTGGGGATGTATCTCAGTACAAAGTTCCTGAATTCTGTAATCAGTTCTAAAAGCTGGAGTAGAAAAATGTAGCTGAACAACACAATGGAAATAAAAAAAGAAATGAAAGTTTCTCTAAAGAAGTCCTATAAACTAATGAAGATGGGTGAGTAAATGGGGGATAATTAATGAACTTGAAGTAATGACAATTTGAACTTCTCAGTAGATATGGAGCAGTGTGTGAAGTGTCCTGATGACCAGTATGCAACAATACAGCAAAACCACTGCCTCCAAAAGCCTGTGACTTTCCTGGGTTATGAAGACCTCATGGGGAAGATCTTGGCTGGCACTGCTCTAAGTCTCAATGTTCTCACAGCTGCTGTACTTGGGCTCTTTGTGAAGCACCGAGACACTCCCATAGTCAAGGCCAACAACAGGGCTCTCAGCTATACTCTGCTCATCTCCCTCACCTGCTGTTTCCTCTGCTCCTTGCTCTTCATTGGCCGTCCCAACACAGTCACCTGCATCCTGCAGCAGACCACATTTGGAGTTGTGTTCACTGTGGCTGTTTCCACTGTCTTGGCCAAAACCATTACTGTGGTGCTGGCCTTCAAGGTCACTGCTCCAGGAAGAAGAATAAGGAAAGTGTTGATATCAGGGTCCCCTAACTTCATCATCCCCATCTGCTCCCTGATCCAACTCACTCTCTGTGCAGTCTGGATGGGGACAAATCCACCCTACATTGACACAGACCCACACACAGAACACGGCCACATCATCATCATGTGCAACAAGGGCTCCCTCACTGCCTTCTACTGTGTCCTGGGATACCTGGGCTCCCTGGCCCTGGTGAGCTTCACTGTGGCTTTCCTGGCCAGGAACCTGCCTGACACCTTCAATGAAGCCAAGTTCCTGACGTTCAGCATGCTGGTGTTCTGCAGTGTGTGGGTCACCTTCCTGCCTGTGTACCACAGCAGCAAGGGGAAGGCCATGGTGGCCATGGAGGTCTTCTCCATCTTGGCCTCCAGTGCAGGACTCCTGGGATGCATCTTTGTCCCCAAGTGCTACATTATTTTGTTAAGACCAGAGAGAAATTCTCTGACTGGAATCAGGGACAAAATACATCCTGGAAAAAGAAAAAATATTAATTCATAAAATATGTTGTACCTAAAATATTTTGTGCCTCTAACCTAATTTTGCAGCATTTTTTGAGTTAGTTGTTAGATTGAAACATGGGGTTTTCTTTAGTAAGTTACTAGGTCTTATTTATCTGTAATATTACCGACACCATTAACGACCACATTTTCACTTAGATTTATATCCTGGAAATTTCTTGTTTCAATTATTCTGCAATAAGTTCTACTTCTTTTTAATTTTGACTATATTAGTTGTTTTTTATTGTGTTCTACTTGTTATTTTCCATCATCTTTGTTCATTATTTAAATGTTAACTATTAGATGAAGATCATTATGTTTCAGAATTTCCTAGTGTACTTCATTTTGTTTTTTTCTTCTTTGCAAATTATTGTTCCTTAAACATCTTGATTAAACTTTGTTTGAATAACTGGTTTTGCATATACTTTCTCACTCTTGCCTTTCATTATTTCTGAAGCCCTCTTTTCTGAAGAACTTTCCTCTTCTGTTACCTTCAGAATAGTAGGATTGACTGATTATATGTTTTCTTTCTATTAAAAAAATGTATTTAGTACAGGGTCTCCGGAATCTCTCTGTATATCTTGGACTCATAGTGACCCAGCTATTTTCAGCCTCCCAAGAGCTGTAATCACAGGCGTGCACCACCACCCCCAGTCTCTCAATTACCATCTCCAAGCCCCCCAGGGGCAGAGCCCACATGGCTGGGGATCGAACTCTGGTCCCTGCGACTGCCTAAGCAAGCGTTTTAACGTGCTGAGCTATCTGGCCAGCCCTTGATTATGTGTGACAACAAATAACCTTGAATTTAAATGACAATAAATTAAATTTATGCTGAAGGGATAGTTGTGTTCTATAGTAACTTTTAATATCAGTTGTTGATTAAATATTTCTTTTTTTTCTTTTCAAAGTTTTATTGATAAACATATAGCAATGAGACAGTTTCAAATCAAATCGAAAGTACAGTTTCAACAAATAATACACTGCATACATTCTTCTCAGTGGTTAATTGCTGTACAAGATGCAGACTTGTGATCCTACTTACAAACACCATTAGAAAAAATCATTCTATTCATTAAGAGAATGCAACTATATATCTATCCCAACCACTTTGAATACACAGATACAAAATGGACATTCATAGTTATACCCCAATTTTTTTTAAGTTCCGTTGTTGAATATTATAGGTGTGTAAACTCAGCAAAATATTCTAAAAGAGTACAGAAGCCCATAATATCATTGGGTTTTCTGTTTAACTGGCAATGTCAGAAATTATTGACCTGAGTCCCCCACAGCTCAACATAACAACATGGCTTTACTTCCTATATTTCATCTTCATACTTTTCTACTGGATGGTTAAGACCAAGGTAAAGCAGGACCTGTGCAACAAGAGTTGTAGCTTTTTGGTCTGACAAGGTCAGTGAAATGCCCTCAGGATTTATCTTGAGATCCTGTACCTCAGATTGTAGAACCTTTGTCAGTGTCAGCCATGTGGATGAGTCACGGCCAATGCTTGGCCTATGTGCTCTCTGTGAAAGCCTGAGAGAGTGTCTTCTCCCCATGTGACTCTCCTTAGGCACACTCTATGTCATCGATCACTTTCCTCTTTGGCCCCATTATCTTCTTGATCAGAAAATTTGGGACACTACCAAGGTACATGACGTTACAGTACAAGTTCTCATATGTCCTGAGTCTTAATTGACCTTAGAAGGTTAGGGCCAAAATGTTGGCTTTCCTTGTAGCCCTCCTTTTTCTCTAATTTTGGTCTGCAAACTTAGGTTGTTAACCATCCAGAAGACAAGCTTATTGTTATTATCAAACGATTTAGGCTATCAAGCTTAACCTCACTATCTCACTGCATTTCAAACATCTTAGGCATAATAAGGAACAGGTATTTTTCATCAAGTATTGATATGTTGAACCTTAAGTCCCTACATAATATGATAACGAACATTTAAAAATTAGATTATATTTTAACAATAGGATAAAGAATTTGATTAAATATTTCTATTTATTTTTTAAATACTCTTTTCTTTTTGGTGGTAGCAGGGATTGAACTCGGGACCTTGCCTGCCAACCACTTGTTCCACTGAGCCATCTCCATAACCCCTAAATATCCTTTTCTAATGTGAGACATGTGTCTATGTTCATTTTGTATTTATTACATATACACATAAAATTATATGAAATATTTTTTCTCACATTTCTTCTTTGTAGTCTTAGGATTTGTTGATAATGCAAAAATAGTTTTGTCCACAATATTTTGTGAATTCACACATTTTATAATGAAACATATTTGTTGCATGATGGATTTTTTTTCCGTGTAGCAAAATGCAGGTTGTTACTTATACTAATTGAAAACGTTTTAAAATTAATATTATTGAGAAACAAATCGCAATGAGACAGTTTCAAAATCAATCAGTAGGATAGTTTCAGTAATGAATACATTGCATATTGTTGTTTTTGAAGTGGTTATTCATAGTACAAGAAGCACATGTGATAACCTGTCCAAACATATTGATTTAAAATCCTGCAATGTCATAGAAGGTGGCTCATATTTATCCCCAGGGGCTGGCATGCATTTCATGAAAACATCAATGAACCAGTGACAATAAATAACCATGTATAAAAAGACATCTCTAGAAACTTTTATTATGTTGGAAATTTAAAGAGTGATCTAGAAGTCTTAAGTATTTCTGGACAAGGATGAAGACACATCTGTTTTCTTTCAATTTTTTTTTCCTGTATCTTAGTACAGGGTCTACAGGGTCTGCATACACAGATTGGACTTGTAGTGATCCTCCTGTTCTCAGCCTCCCACGTGCTGGGATTACAGGCGTGTACCATCACGTCCAGTCTCAATTATTGCCTCAGTGTGCCCCAGGGGCTGGCATGGCACACCGGAGATGGAGCCCTGGTCCTTGTGCTTGCCTAAGCAGGTGCTTTCATCTGCTGAGCTATCTGGCCGGCCCTTTTCTTTTGTACTACAATTTTGGCAAATTTTTCTTCTTGTGTATCGGTATGTCCAGCAATTTTCTGACTTTTGAGGTCCTTATAGGTTTGGTACTAATAGGTTCATAATCCTTCTTCACTAGCAAATGCCTAGACAAAGGGCGTTCAGTGACTGGTTAAAGTGGGCTTTGGTCATTTGTCGCACAATGTTTGCTTTGGATGCAATGCTGAGCAACACCAGGCTTCAGGTGCTCTGAATGTCCCTCAACCACGAGTGGGTTTATCACTACTGCAAAGAATGGTGTGGTGCTCGGATCACACATTGGGGTCCTTTGAAATGTAGAAACATTGTTAACCCAGCTGTGTTTCATTGGACAGTGGTCCAGCTTCACAGATGAGTAGTTTTGAGTTTTTACAGCTAAAAACACCTTTGTTTTGAGGGGCTGACGGGAGCCTAGAAGTTCCGGGAGCAGAATTGCTTTTATACACCTGAGAGGACCCTCATGATTCCTTCAGTGGACAGTGATTTACAGAGATGTTCAGGGGTTACCCCGTTTTCTTTCTGTCACATAGTTAATAGCAGTTAAGTACTCTAACTTTGTTTTCTTTAAGTGGAGAACAGCTTCAAGAAGTTTTTTCTTCAAATGTTCCCATACATTGCCCAAGTTCTATTAGATGTTTTAAGAAAAAGGGCCTTTCATCTGGGATTCATGCCACGAGGAACATGGCAAACGTTCATCATTAGTGTCCGGCTGATGTCACTGTGACACATTGTTAGTGACCTGCAAAGGAACCGAGGACTTCCTCAAAAGGCTGCCTTGTGGATAACACTTCCCACGTGATAACTGCGTAGCTGTGCATACCACACCACATGCTAGCCCTTGTCTCAGGTCCAGGTTCGTAGTTTTCAGATGGCATATAGATAATTGTCCCTCTTTCTGGTGAGAATTTGCTTCCATGGGATTGTGAGAGTGACATATTGTGTGCCATTTTGCTCCGAATGCCTTCAGGGCAGGTTTGGCTGGCTTGAGTTGTGGGGATTGAACCCCAGCAACCTGAGCCTGACTGCTATGTTGAAGCAGCCACTTAAAGAACTGAGCTACGGGGCAGGCCCCCTAATGTGCCATTTTGATAAACCAAAATTTGCAATCTTACTGTGGAGTTCATTATCTAACAAGATATTCCGAGTCTTCAAGTCATGATGGAGTATAGAGGAGGGCTCATATTGTTGAGATGATTTACACCAAGCACGATTCCCTGCAGGGTGTGAGATCCAAATGGCCAAGCAACATCAGGACATTCAGTTTTCCTGTGTAGTCACTTCTTCTTGGGCCCAGCTGCTGATCAACAAAAATTACTCTTTGGCTCTATACTTGTTGTTGTTGAGTTGCTTGGATTTTTAATCTATGTGATCTGATACTCATACCTTTATCTTCTTTATTGTATTTTGTAGTTTCTGTCTTCTATAATATTTTACTTAAAATATGAATAGAGGCTTATTTCTGTTACTTACAATTTCATTATAAGTTTTACGTTAAATATTATGTATTTACCATTTTGAGGCTACATCTATGAACATATAAAAAAGCACTTGAACAGTTTTAAATTGTCCTGAATTTCAATCAGTGTATGGTCAAACTAATTTTATTTTCATTTAAATTTATAATCTGTCAACACAATGATTAGAAAATTTATTCAAAATATGTCATATTTATTATGAGTATAAAACTTATTTTTATGTATTCTGGGTTTTATTTTTTATTATTTATTTATTTAAATATTTTTATTGAGAAACAAATAGCAGTGAGACAAATAGCAGTTTCACAACTAATTAATAGTACATTTTCAATAATTAATACATGGATATTGTTGTCTTAGTAGTTATTCATTGTACAAGATGCAGACCTGATATCCTGTCTCAAACACTATTACAACAAGCTTCTCTATTCATTGAATTAAGAGAATGAAGCTGTATATCTATCCTATTTTCAGTATGCAGATACAAAATGGTTGTTCATTTGTATCCCCTTTTATTGGTTAGTTTTGTCAGAG